TTTCATTTTTGCTTCTACTTTTCATTTAAAATAGGTTTCCATTCTCGGCAGGTTTCTAAGGTTCTTCTTCTACACGTTAACAAAGTTGCTAAACATCTGAGTGGCGCACTATTGCTACTAGTGGTGAGAAAGTGTATTGCACCTTATTCAAAATTGTTGCAGTCCCTCGGCCCTCTGCAGCCCAAAGTTAAAAACTGTTGTTATTTTGAGACCCTCAAGGTGGCGCTCACGGCCCACAATTGGGCCGCGGCCCATGGGTTAAGAATATCTGTTCTATCACACTGAAATAACACAAACGTCCTTTTCTTAAATGTTCAGTGTTGCTTTACATTAGTTAATACCTGGACAATGATTAGATGGAATTTAAAGAGTCTAAATACACAACTATAAACTAAAAAACACTGTTTACGTGTAAACATTTTTACATCTCCACAAATCATTTTGTTTATAGATGTAAAAAACAAGCCTCATCAATGCTTTATGTAGTATTTTAGGGATAAAACAATTAAATAATCAATATAAAAAATGACTTCCCAACACATCTAAACTTCTCTTTTGCTTGTGTAAGTTTTTCCTCTTACTGGTTCACAAGAAATTTTGCTGGTAAAATGAACAAATGTAATCACAACTCTTCAGTTTTTTGGTACTTGTCCATGAAAATTAAAAAATTCTTCAACTGGCAATACGTTTAAAGAGCTTTCCACATAAAAAAAATTTATATAGTTATGTATCAGTAAAGAATGTATTAAAATATGATTAAACTGTCTTTTTTAGGGTGAGAGAAAGCCAACAGAGATCATTTGGAAGAAGATGAGGGGTGACGGCTGTATGGATCGCTCCCTCAGCACAGGATCACTGACAGGTAAGAGTGTGTGTGTTTTCCTCACCTGATTTTTCTTTTCTCTTTCACCCAGTTGTTTTGCTTTTTACTCATTGTTCCTCTTCTCACAGATTCAGGGATGAGCAGGATGATGCACGGCAACACAACTCTTTTTCCCAGCCCTCAGCATCAACACAGGAAGTCTCAGTATCAAGGAAATGGGCTAAGTGGCAGAAATGAGAAACTCTTTCCCCCAAAGAGCTGCAGCTACACGGACTATAACATACTGCCCTCTGACAAGTCAGCGGGTGAGCTGAAAGATTCTTGAAAAACATTCTCACTGTTTACTTGTGTTTTTCTTTCTTTCTTTCTGTTACACTGCAAAAAGTTTGTATCTGTTTTTTTTTTCTTGTTTATTTTTGTCAAACAAGTACTAAATCACCAGCCTGTACAGGGATTTTTGATGCACATTAACACTTGTTTTATTCACTTTCCAGGCATAGTGAGTCGTTTGCTGGGACCTTCGTTCGAGCCCTCATGTTTGCCAGAGTTGACCCGTTACGACTGCGAGGTCAACGTCCCACTGCAGGGCAACCTACACCTCCTCCAGGGCTGTGACCTACTGCAAGCCCTGGACCAGGCCACCTAGAGCCCCCCGCCCCACAATCCTGGACACTCAGCCCCCGAGCCTCAACCTGCAGCCGTGACTAAGCCTTTCTCCACCTGTTGTGCCTCTAGGTCTTCTGAGAGTTCAAAGATTAAGCTACCTGTAGAGCACAGTATTCATTACCACATCCTGCTTTACTCAGCCCATATAATCTGGTTTTCCCATCCGCTTTCTAGTCCTTTATGTAAACTAAAGCTTCAGAAATAACAAGGTCAGGCTAATTCACCCCTTTCTACCCCCAAACTTCTGGCTTAAATCTGATTCAGGTTCGGTGGAAGAGCTGCCCTGCATAGAACCAACCACATCAAATGGCCTACATTCATTTATGAAAACCACAGGTCACTGGGTGGAAACCTCCGTGATGGCTATTTAACAGAATATATACTATTACTCTCACACACGTGTCATGTTTAAAGAGTTCTGACACTGGGATCTCACTGAGGTTGGTGTAAGAAACGCAGTGTGGTGTTTGGAAACACAAGCCTGAGATTGGGTTTTGAATATTGAAGGTGGTGTTAGATGGCACCGAGAAACCGGCGCTGCGAGAAACACCTCCAGCCGTGCACGCCAACAACCAGCTGACTCCTGCTGAGGCTGTACAGTCTATGCGGCTGCTTGCTTTATATCAGCGTGTAGCTTTAAATAGAACACGATACCCTGCCTACACATCAGCAGAGACACTGTGTTTGGTCAGTTTTCTTTCGTTGACCAACTCGAGCCTTTTCCATAGGCAGTCATCAGTCTGCGTCACCTCACCTGAATTTGTCTTATTTTAATTACCGTAACACAAATTTGTTCACAACAGCATTAGATGTCAGTGTTGTAAGCTTTGTTTAATTTTAGCTTTCAAAACCTGTTTATACTTAGGTTACTGATTCTCTTTAGTTTTAATTGACTAAACATTGGTTTCGGGACACTGCTGTATTAAACCTGCTTGCTTCCATTTTACTAGGTTCTCACTCCACCAACCCCATTCTTATATCTGTGTCTTTCACATAGATACAGTAGTAAAACAATAAGCTGAAATACATGTACTCAAGTGTAAATGAAATATTAAGTTATGGGTTGTTTTTGCCCATATGTTTTTTTTTTCTTTAAATCTAATGTGTCTGAACATGTAGGAGCTGGAATAAGCAGCTTGTGTCGTAACAGGGTATTTTCTTATTGTGTCATTTATATTCAACAAACTAATAGCTTGCACAAAATGAATTTATCTTGCACAAGTTCCAAGCAAGACAGACGAAGCAGGAAGAAAAGCAGTGGTTTGCACAGACGGCAAAGGGAGATGATGAGAGGCGCTCGCTTGTGCATGCATGCAGATGTGTGCTTGTTTGAAAAACTGAACTCAAACGCAGTCTGTACAAATTTACTTTTAGGTAGTTTCTCTGCCGTGCCAAATTTCAGTTTCCATCTCAGGAGTGACAATCCCTTATGTGCAAAATGTCTGCAGTCAAAGTTAAGGCTTAATAAATATATTAAGCTGCATTCCAAAGCAAATTGCTACTAATGGTTAAATTGATGTTTGAGACTTTTTCCAACTTTTTTGCTATAAGTTGTCAAAATTGGTTTGTTTTAAAGGGGCAATATCATCTAAAATCTACTTTTTTGAGTTTTATATCATGTTATAATGTTATACTCTCATAAAAACATGGTCAAAGCCTTGCTCTGACTCATTCATGCATGTTTGAGAAATCCTGCAGCGCTTTTAGGAAGCCATGCTGAGGAGCAAAACGACAGGTGGGGACCAGAAATGCCTTTTGGGACCAGAAACACTTCTGGGACGTGTCTTTATGTCTTTAAGCCGAACTTCCTCATCACAGAGCACACCTTCCCATCCCCACACACCCCGCCCATGACTCCTGCATGCTCTGGCAGAAACAGAGCAAAGTGAAAGTGAAGCTTAAACTCTCTGCTGCTCTTAGCACTACTGCTCACTCAGTGAACCTCTTTGGCTCTTTTCAGATTCAAAATACCTTTGAGAAAATGTATGAAAATTTATTTTCAGATGCCAAGTAAACTGCATCTTGGCCCCCTCCCCCCTCCCCACACACCCTGCCCATGACTCCTGCAGGCTCTCGGCAGAAACAGAGCAAAGTGAAAGTGAAACTTAAACTGTCTGCTGCGCTTAACATTACTTCTCACTCAGTGAAGCTCTTTTCAGATTCAAAATACCTTTGAGGAAATGTATTTTCAGATGCCAAGTAAAGCATCATAGCGTACGGGCGAAACAAACCACGCCGACCCCCCATGGGTGACGGGACGGGACAGAAGCAGAAGGTGGTTCTTAAAGAGACGGAGGCCAAGTTCAAGGTGTTTAGAAGAGGAAGTGATGAGAAAAGTTTATTTTCTATTTAAACATAAAAACAGMATTTTAATAACAGCTAAAGGTGACAAAGATACTTTATTAACGTATAGTATTTAAATATACACCTGAGAAACACATAATATTGCCCCTTTGAGCCCTGTACCCGAGCCCACAAGCTGCTTCAGCCA